CTGAGAGGTCGAGGCGGGTAGATAAGCTGAGGTCAGGAGTTTGAGAACAGCCTGACCAACACGGAGAAGCCCTGTCTCTACTACAAATAAAAAATTAGCCAGGCATGATGGCACATGCCTGTAATCCCAGCTACTGAGGAGACTGAGGCAGGAGAATCATTTGAACCCAGGAGGTGGAGATGGTGGTGAGCTGAGATTGCGCCATTGCACTGCAGCCTGGGCAATGAGAGTGAAACCCCATCTCAAAAATGAGTGAGGGAATAAATAAGTAAATAAATAAATAAAATGGTACAGCTTCTCTGGGAAATAATTTTGCATTTACTTAAAATATTAATATGTACTTACCATAGAATCCAGCAATGTCAATCCTGGGCAGATTATTCACATTATAAAATTCATGTTGTTCAGGATAATGTCTCAAATTACTCAATGGTTTTTATCCTGTGGTTATCATAACAAATTGCCATGAACTTGGGAGCCTAAAATATCTAAAATGTATTCTCTCACCGTTTTGGAGGCCAAAATCTAAAATCTAAATGTAAGCAAGGCTGAACTTCTTTTGGAAATTCTGAGGAAGAATTTGTTTTTTGCCTTTTCTAGCCTCTGGTGGCCTTTACCATTCTTGAATTTTTTTTTTTTTTTTTTTTTTTGGGGTGAGGGAAGGGAAGAAAGGAAATCAAGCAATGAGAGAGACATTGCGGACCTGGATCTAGAGGTTTACAAGTTGATTTCTTTTTTTTTGAGAGAAGGAAAGAAAGAAAGAAAAAAAAGTAATGGAGAGGAAGAAAGAGGAAGAAAAAGAGGGAGAGTAAATGGAAATATTGTTTTATTTTGAAAAAAATTGGGTATTAATAATGGCCAATCAATGTTTCATTTAAACTTATGGGTAGGTGTGATGTGGTATTGACAAGAATGTATATTTTGTGTATTTGAAGTGGAGAGCTCTATAAATATTTATTAAGTTTACTTGTTCCGGATCTGAGTTCGAGTCCTTGATATCCTTATTAATTTTCTGTCTCACTCGTATCTGGGTGTTAGGATCGTTAGTTCTTGTTGTTGCATTGATCCTTTTACCACTGTATCTTTGTTGCTTTAAAATCTATTTTATCCGATATGAGAATTGCATCTCCTGCTTTTTATTTATTTATTATTTATTTTTGCTCTCCATTTGGTTGGTAAATCTTTCTCCATCCCTTTGTTTTGAGTCTTTGTGTATCCTTGCATGTGAAACAGGTCTGGATGTAACATGCCATTGGGTTTTGGCTGTGTCTTTTGATTGGGGGATTTAGTCAATTTATATTTAGGGTTACTGCCATTTGATGTTGACCGGCTGTTTTATCCATTCGTTGGTATAAATTCTTCTTTAGGTTGGTGCTCTTTACTTTTTGGTGTATTTTTAGAAAGGCTAATACTGGTTGTTTCTTTCTGTGTGTAATGCTTCTTTCAGAAGCTCTTGTAAAGCAGGCCTGGTGGTAATAAAATCTCTGAGTTCTTGCTTGTTCATAAAAGATTTTATTTTTCCTTCAGTTGTGAAGTTTAGTTTGGCTGGATATGAAATTCTGGGCTGAAGGTTCTGTTCTTTGAGGATGTTGAATATTGGCCCCCACTCTCTTCTGGCTTGTAGAGTTTCTGCTGAGAGATCTGCTGTAAGTCTGATAGGCTTGCCTTTATGGGTTACATGACCTTTCTCTCTGGCTGCCCTTAGTATTTTCTCCTTTGTTTCAACCCTGGTGAATCTAACGATTATGTGCCTTCGGGTTGCTCTTCTTGAGGAATATCTTTGTGGTGTTCTCTGTATTACCTGGGGTTGAATGTTGACCTGCTTTGCTAGTTTAGGAAAATTTTCCTGAATAATATCCTGAAGGGTATTTTGCAGCTTGGATTCATTCTCTCCGTCACATTCAGGTACACCTATCAAACGTAAATTTGGTCTTTTCACATAGTCCCACATTTCTTGGAGACTTTGCTCATTCCTTTTTATCCTTTTTTCTCTAATCTTTTCTTCACGTTTTATTTCATTAAGTTGGACTTTGACCTCTGATATCCCTTCTTCTGCTTGAACAATTCGAGTGTTTAAACCTGTGCATACTTCTCGGAGTTCTTGTATTGTATTCTTCAGTTCCATTAATTCACTCATACTCCTCTCTAAGTTGTCTATTCTCAATAGGATTTCATCAAGCCTTTTTTCAAAGTTCCTAGTTTCTTTACGTTGGGCTACAACATGTTCTTTTAACTCACCAAAGTTTGTTATTATCCATTCCTTGAAGAGTGATTCTGTTATCAGGATGCGCTCGTTCTCCATCAAGCCTTGTTCCATTGTTGATGTGGAACTGTGATCATCTTTAGACGGAGAGGCGTTCTGACTTTGAGTATTCTCAGCTTTTTTACGCTGGTTTCTTCCCGTCATTGTAAATTTATCCTCCTGTTGTCTTTGAAATGACCAACTTTCAGATTAGGTCTCTTGAGTGGGCGTCCAGGTTGTTAGTTCCCAGGGCCAGAGCAGCTGCGTTAAAACTGATAGTGCTTTTCTGCCCAGGATTCTCCTGTCTGGCTTCCTTCTTGTGTCCGTAGTAGGCGACTCTGCCTTCCCAGGACTCCAAACCTTGGTCAGAAGGGGAACCCGTCCCGTTTACTCTGCGCAGAGCGCTGCCGTGCCGAGGTGTCGTCACTGTCGCTGCGCCGGGCTCTGGTGTTGTGCTGGGGGCCCGTGCGGGTCCTCCAAATGTGTTTACTTTGCTCTGAGAGCTGCTGCGCGAGGTGCGGGCGGAACCGCTGTGCCGGCCACGAGAGTCATGCTGGCGACCCGTGTGTTTCCTCCACTGGGGGATCTTCTGCTCCGTGAGCAGCCAGACTTTGAAAGTGTGGCGTCCTCTAGTTCTCCGCGCCTTCCATGAGAGCTGCAATCTCGGGATGTTAGCGATCGGCCATCTTGGATCGTTCCCCATTCTTGAATTATAGCCACATCACTCAATCCCTCTCTCTCTCATTGTATTGCATCCTCCTCATTTCTGAGTCTGCTCATCTTCTGTATTTCTTGTAAAGATACATGGGCTTGTTTTAAGTACCAACCTGGATAACCCAGGATAAGCCCCTTCTCTTAGGATCTATGACTTAATCACCAATTTTGCCAAAGAGTAACTCTTTGGTCTTTTAAGGAATGTGGACATCTTTTGGGGGCTATAATTCACTTCTCTATATTACCCTCTTCTGTCCCCCAGAATTCATGTTCATGCCATATGCTAAGTATTACCTTTTTCCCTTACCAGTATCCTCAAAAGTCACAACCGATTATAGCATCAACTCTTAAGTCCAAAATTAAAAAATATATATTATCAGCTCAAAGGTCCAATTTCATCATCTCAACCATCTGACTCTGGTGTGGTTGAGACTCTGGAATTCATCCTGGGGCAAAATTCCTGTGCCTTTGTGGAGCTATGAAACTACAGTAAAAGTTACCTCCTGCCAAAATGCAGTAATAGGACATGCATAGGATAGACATTTCAAAAGGGAGAAATGGGAAAGAATAAAGGAGCCACTGGTTTCAAACATGTTTAAAATCTAGCAGGGCATATCCCATTTTGTGTTTCAAGGCTGGAGTTTCCTATCTGGCTTGAGGCGCTGCCCTCCTGGACTGCAGCTTCATTTTCTGGGCCTGTGGCTCTGCCCACTCCTACCTTGGTCCTACTTGGACCTTTAAACCCACATCCCTGCCCTTGGAGTCATTAATACATTTTATTGAAGGGTAGCACAGGATTCCACCTAAGTAGCTCTATCAGCCTGTTTCCTGCTTGTAGAATTTTGCAAGTCCAGTAGCCCCTGCCACCACTGCCCCCGCTGCCCCCTCCGCCGCCGCTGCCTCCTCCTCCTCCTCCTCCTCCTCCTCCTCCCCCCTCCCTTTCCTCCTCTTCCTCCTCCTCTTCCTTCTTTTTTCTTTCTTCTTTCTTCCTTCTTCTTCTTCCTCCTCCTCCTCTTCTTCTGTCTTCTTTCTTCTCTTTGTGCCTGTCAGTCCAAGATGGCAGATTCTGCAGATACTACATTCTCAAAAACCTTGTGTATCTCCTCTGTATGTCATGGAGATCCATGCCATCAGACAAGAGGACAATCCACAGATCTTTCTTGGATTTCCCTGTCTCTATTCCTGGCTTCTGTTGGTTGAGTGGATCCATGAAACACATGCCTGATGTCTTCAGCAGAATATCATCAAGCTATACTTTTGGCCTTCTCTTCAGAGCACATTTTCCTGATCATGAAACTCCTCATAGTAGCATTTTTTTCTCCTACACAGGATATTCAAATACCAGAAGATCCAAAGAAAGTATTACTTAATGGTAAAATTAGAAGCCCTCTGAACAGCAGTAAGGGAGATATTTGAGGTCAGGGAGAAATTCTGAAAAACTTAAAATCATATCATAAATTTTGTCATTTAGCCTGATGGAATGAGAGGAACTGGATTAAACCTCTGCATTAGTCAAGATTTTACCAGAGAAACAGAATCAGTAGGTCATTAAAGAGGTTTATTGGCATATATGATTGTGGGGGCTGGCTAGGCTAGTCTGAAAACAGTAGGGCTTGCCAGGAGGACTTTCCTAGTGGAAAATCCCAGGCAGGAGCTGTTGCTTCAATCCCTAGGATCACAGTAGTCACAGTAGCAGAATGAACCCCAAGATTACCCAGATGTAGAAAATTATAAAAATTATTTTCTTAAAAATAAAATTTCAAATTTGGAATCATTTTAGATTTACAGAAACCTTGTGAAGGTAGTACAGAGTTTCTATATATTCCTCATCAATTTTCTCCTATTTTTTTACACTTTAAAAAATTGAGATTAAAATATACCTATAAAATTCAGCATCTTTACCATTTTAAAGTTTACAGTTCAGTGGTAATAAATACATTTATATTCCTTTTCTTCCCCTTCATTGCCCCCTGCCCCACATTTCCTGGCCTCTGATAAGTGCCATTCTACTCTCTCTCTTCATGAGACCCACTTTTTTTCCCCACAGCAGATGGGTAATGTGCTAACGTCTTAAGGACACTTTAGGGAGGCACATCTCACACAAGAGCATGAAAACCCAATCATGCTTATGCAGTGCAAAAGGAGCAAAGATCCACTTTTGTAGTTCCCTCCTGGGAGTGAGATCATGTAACGTTTCACTGTGCCTGACTTATTTCTCTTAACATAGTGGCCTTCAGTTTCAGCTGTGTTGCCACAAATGACAGGATTTCATTCTTTTTTAATTGTTGAATATGTCATTGTATATATATACCATATATTCTTTGTTCATTCATCTGTGGATGAACACTTAGGGTAATTCCATATTTTGGCTATTGTGAACAGTGCTGCAATAAACATGGAAGTACAGATATCCCTTAGATACATTGATTTTCGTTCTTTTGGCTATATACCTGGTGGTAGAAGTGCTGAATTGTTTGGTGATTCTATTTTTAGTTTTCTGAGGAACCTCCATACTGTTCTCCATAGTGGCTGTGCTAATTTACATTTCTACCAGCAGTGTACAAGAGTCACTTTTCTCCATATTCTCACCAGCATCTTTTATTGATTGTCCTTTTGATACAAGTCATTTTTACTGAGGTGAGATGATATCTCATTGTGGTTTTGGTTTGTGTTTCTCTGATGACTAGCGATGTTGAGCATTTTTTTTCATATACCTATAGGACATTTGTATGTCATCTTTTGAGACATATGTGTTCAGATCTTTTGTCCATTTTTAATTTTCTTATTTTTTCTCTTGTCTCTAGTGGGGTTGGATTTTGCCCATTTTAAAATCGGATTATTTGGGGAGTTTTGCCATTGAGTTATTTGAGCTCTTTATATATTGTAGTTACAAACTCTTTGTCAGATGGATAGTTTGCAAATATTTTCTCCCATTCTAAGTGTTGTTTCTTCACGTTGTTGATTGGTTCTTTTGCTGTGTAGAAGCTTGATAACTTGAGGTAATACCATTGGTCTATTTTGCTTTGGTTGTCTATGTTTTGAGATCTTACACAAAAAGGCTTTGCCCAGACCGATGTCCTGGACTATTTCCCTAAAGTTTTCTTTTAGTAGTTTCATAGTTTGAGGTCTTAGAATAAGTCTTTAATCCATTTTGATTTGATTTTTATTATCGTGAGAGATAGGGGTCTAGTTTCATTTTTCTGCATAGCTATCCAGTTATCCCAGTAGCACTTATTGAAAAGACTGTTCTTTCACCTTTGTATGCTCTTGGCATCTTTGTCGAAGATGAATTGGCTGTAAATGCATGGATTCATGTTTGGTTTCTCTAGTCTGTTCCATTGGTCTACGTATCTATTTTTTGGGTTATTGTAGATGTGTAGTAAATTTTGAAGGCAGAAAGTGTGAGGCCTTCAGTTCCTTTGGCTCAGGATTCCTTTGGCTATTTGGGGTCTTTTGTGGCTTCATATAAATTTTAAGATTTTTTTCCTATTTCTGTGAAGAATGTTGTTGAAATTTTGATAGGGATTGCATTGAATCTGTAAACTACTTTGGATAGTATTGTCATTTTAACAGTATTAATTCTTCTGATCCATAAGCATGAAATATCTTTCTATTTTTTGTGTCTTTAGTTTCTTTCATATTTCATAGTTTTCTTTTTATAGATCTTTCACTTCTTTAGTTAGATTAAGTCCTAGGTATTTTACATTTTTGTAGATATTACAAATCGGATTGCCTTCTTGATTTCTTTTTTCCGATTGTTCTCTGTTGGTGTATATAAATGCTACTGATTTTTGTATGTTCATTTTGCAACTTGCAACTTTACTGAATTTGCTGATCAGCTCTAACAATTTTTTGGTGAGCTCTTTTGCCTTTTCTAGGTATAAGATCATGTTGTTTGCAAATAAGGCTAATTTGAATTCTTCCTTTCCAATTTGGATGCCCTTTATTTTTTTCTCTTGCCTAATTGCTCTAGCCAGGACTGGAAGTATTATGTTGAATAACAGTAGGGAGAGTGGGCATCCTTGTTTTGTTCCAGTCTTTAGAGGCCTTCATTTTTTTCCCTGTTCAGTATGATGGTAGCTGTGGATTCTCATATATGGTCTTTATGAAATATGTTTCTTCTATACCCATTTTGATGATTTTTTTTTAAGTCATAAAGGATGTTGAATTTTATAAAATGCTTTTTCAGTGTCTGTTGAAATATGTGGTTTTTGTTCTTGATTCTGTTAATATTATATATCATGTTTATTGATTTGTCTATGTTGAACCATTCTTGCATCCCTGGAATGAATCCCATTTGATTATTGTAAATGAGCTTTTTAATGTGTTGTTGAATTCTGTTTGCCAGTATTTTGTTGAGGATTTTCACATCTATGTTTGTCAGGGATATTGTCCTGTAGTTTTCTTTTCTTGTTGTGTCTTTACCTGGTTTTAGTATCAGGGTAATGCTGACCTTGTAAATGAGTTTGGAAGTATGTCCTCCTCTTCAAGTTTTTTGAAGAGTTTGAATACAATTGATATTAATTCTTCTTTAAATGTTTGGTAGAATTCAGCAGTGAAGCTGTCAAGTCCTGGGATTTTTTTTTTGTGTGTGTGTGTGTGGAGGCTTCTTATTACAGCTTTAATTTTACTTGTTATTGGTTTGTTGAGGTTTTCTATTTCTTCATGATTCAATCTTGGAGGTTGTCTGTTTACACAAACTTATCCATTTCTTCTAGGTTTTCCAATTTGTTGGTGTATAATTGTTCACAGTAGTCTCTAATGATTTTTTGTGTGTCTGAGATCTCAGTTGTTATCTGTCCTTTCTTTGTTTCTGATTTTATTTAAGCCTTCTCTTTTTTCTTAGTCTAGCTCACGACTTGTTGATTTTTGTTTACATTTTTGAAAGTCAATGTTTTGTTCCATTGATCTGTATTTTTTAGCTTCAATTTCATTAGTTTCTGCTCTGATTTTTATTACTTCTTTCCTTCTACTATTTTTGGCTTTGGTTTGTTCTTGCTTCTAGTTTGTTGAGGTATATCATTAGTTGTTTATTTGAAGCCTTTCATTTTTCTTTCATTTGCCTCTTAGTACTGCTTTTGCTGTATCCTATAGATTTTGGTATATTGCTTTTTTTGGGGGGGTGGATTGAGTCTTGCTCTCTTGCCTAGGCTGGAGTGCAGTGGTACAATCTCGACTCACTGCAACCTCCACTTCCCAGGTTCCAGTGATTCTCCTGCCTCAGCCTCCTGAGTAGCAGGAATTACAGGCACCTGCCACCACTCCCAGCTAATTTTTGTATATTTAGCAGAGACCATTTCACCATGTTGGTCAGGCTGGTCTTGAACTTCTGACCTCAAGTGATACTCCCTTCGGCCTCCCAAAGTGCTGGGATTACAGGCGTGAGCTACCACGCCGGGCCTCTATATTGCATTTCCATTTTTATTTGTTTCAAGACATTTTAAAATGTCTTTCTTAATTTCCTCATTGACCCATTGATCACTCAGGAGGATGTTATAACTTTATGCGTTTATGTATTTTCCCTAGTTCTTCTTACTAAGTTCTAATTTTAGTCCCTTGTTGTCATAAACAATATTTTATATAATTTTTACTTTAGCAATTTTGTTCAGATTTGTTTTATGATCTAAAATATGGTTTCTTCTGGAGAATGTTCCATGTGCTGGTAAAGAAAATATATGTTGCAACAGTTGGATAAAATGTTTTCTAAACATCAGTTAGGCTTATTGGATCTAATGTGTAGTTTAACTCTGCTGTTTCATTGTTGATTTTCTGTCTGAATGATCTGTCCATTACTGGAGTGGGGTCTCCTTCTTTTGTTGTTTTACAGTCTACTTTTTAGATCTATTAACATTTTCTTTATAGACTTGAGATATCCAATGTTGGCTACATAGATATTTATAATTCTTACATATGCTTGCTTCATTGACCCCTTTATCATTGTAAAGTGTTCTTCTCTGTCTTTTATAATCTTAAACTGGTTGTCTACTTTCTCATATAAGTATAGCTACTCCTGCTGTTTTGGTTTCCACAGATATGGAATATCTTTTCTGACCCTTTCACTTTCAATCTATGTGTGTCTCTATAGGTGAAGTAGATTTCTTGAAGGCAGCATATAACGTGGTCTTGTTTCGTTATTCGTTCAGCCTCTCTGTGCCTTTTAGTTGGATAATTGAGACCATTTACATTTAGTGTTATTATTAAGTAAGGCATTACTACTGCCATTGTTTTGCTTGTTTTCTGGTTTGTTTCTTAGTGCCTTCCTTTGTGGGTAAGTGATTTTCTCTGGTAATATGCTGTTAATTTGTTGCTATTTCTTTTTAATGAGTCAGTTAAAAGATTTCGATACAAGTTTTTGTGTTGTGGTTACCAGGAGGCTTACAGAGACATCTTATAATAGATATAACAAGTTGTTTTAAAGAGACTGCAACTTAGATTACAAATACAAGAGTAGAAACGAAGGCAAAAGAAGATGTAAAAAAATGCTATACTTTTATTGCATCACCTAGGTTTTCTTTACTTTTTTTGAGATGAAGTTACCCAGTGGCATGATCTTGGCTCATTGCAACCTCTGTCTCCTGGGTTCAAGTGATTCTCCTACTTCAGCCTCCTGAGTAGCTGGGATTATAGACATGTGCCACCATGCCCAGCTAATTTTTTTGTATTTTTAGTAGAGACAGAGTTTCACCACATTGATCAGGCTGCTCTCAATCTCCTGATCTCAAATGATCTGCCCTCTTAGGCCTCCCAAAGTGCTGGAATTACAGGTGTGAGCTACCGTGCCTGGCACCTGCAGCATCTTGACTTTTAGTTGTCTCAGTTTACATCGTTTGTATTACCTATGTCTTAACAGGTTGCTAATAGTAATAATTATTTTTTATATATTTATCTTCCAGGTTTCTTTTTTGTTTGTTTGTTTGTTTGTTTGATCTTTCTTTTTTTTTATAGCATTTTAGGTTTTGGGGTACACGTGCAGAACATGCAAGACATTTGCATAGGTACACACATGGCAGTGTGTTTTGCTGCCTTCCTCCCCTACACCCACATTTGGCATTTCTCCCCAGCTCCCCCTCCCCGCTGTCCCTCCCCTCTTCCCCCAAATAGACCCCAGTGTTTAGTACTCCCTTCCCTGTGTCCATGTGTTCTCA